AGGTACCAAAACCACTTACTACTATTACTAACTTCAAATGACTTAAAAGGATCAAAGGAAATTCCTAATATTCCATCTACATTGACTATCATTCAACAACAAACAATTCCATTGACTGGATCTTCATCAAATTCTAATAATGTCATGAATATCTCTGCTGCTCCAGGTTCTGTAATAACAACGAATTCTGGCCTAATTTAAATGATAGATATTTGGTGCAGGATTAGAAGGTTTATTTTCTTTCATTATTGTATTTGTCAGATAATAAAAGTTTTTTGAATTCTTTCTTTGTTTTGAATGATTTATTTTATAATCAATGGAAATGAATTATTTCAATTGTATCAAGATTTGAATACAACAATACGTTGAGAGCTCTGAAGCTTGCACAAAGCCAACCGGCTCTCACCAAAGATGACCTGTCAAATATTTATAAGAGTCATAAACTGGAAATTCCAGAATAGATTGAATCTCACTCTCATGAAAATCATGAATGATTAAGATGGAAATAAAATTGAAAACCCAACTGGTCGATGAAATAATGGTAAATTGAAAGTTCATGGAATTTCCAAAACTCATTTTTCCTTTTAATCTCAAAAACGAAAGCTCTTCTGAATTGTATTGAAAAATATAAAATGATCTCTTTATTAGTTGTTGCAACAAACAATTTGATCATGGTATACAAATCTCATTACTTTGATTCCGAAATTTTTTCTTGTCTTTTATTAGCGATTGATAAAAATTCTTCTCATTGAGCAAAATGAACTTTTTCTTTTATATTTTTTTGATAGAAAAACAACCCTTACTAATATCAATATTCTTTTAAATTACCCTATTGATTGCATATGACCACTAGAAATAATACTTTTTTTTTGACATTCTTCCTGAAAAAGTATAGAAAATAAGTGGCAAATGACAAAGAGAAAAAAGGATACAGTTTTTGCACTTATTCATCAAAACATGATGATTGACTTGCATGCATGTATAAATGAATAATGGGATTCTCATGGTCACAGTTGAATATTTATTGTATACGAATTGAAAAAATAAATATGGTTTGATAAGAAACTTCAGAAAAATATAAATGAATATTGAATAAATCAGAATAATTTCCGCCAATCCATATCGAAACACATCAAAAACATCATTTTAAGTATTGATTGAGGATATGGTCTTATTATTTCATATTTTTTTATTTCAATCATCTTTCGTAATGATTATTTTTTCTGTAGTATTCAAATAAATTTTGTAATACTTTGACCATCAGGTTTTCATTTATCAAAACATTATAAATATATCAATATTGCATTTAATTGCTTCAGAAAAAGCCTAATTAATATTTTGGAAAAAAAAATATTCGAAATTTCGAAAAAAATTAAAAAATTCAACTCTTTGCTTGTTTTCCATGAATATTATGTAATTTACATATTATTTTGGAAATTCTTATTGCGACCTGTTTTTTCTCAAAATATTTCAATCAACAGAAATTCGAATTAATGTTCTTTCTTCGCAGTTTTTGTCTCTCAAAAATATATCGATTGATATGATCCAAGTCAAATTGAAAGGTTTTGATTGAAGTTAAATATTTGTGAGAATCACTTGATAATTAGTTTATTTATTACATAGATTCGATGATGATTTATTTTGGGGAAATCCCACAACAGATATTCAGAGATATACGAGAAATTGGATCAGGATCATTCTCGAATATATTCTCTGCAACTTATAGAAAGACTCAAACAAAAGTTGCGTTGAAAGCATTTGAAAAAAAGCATGGAGAAGAAATGGTAATTCAAAATGAAATTGATATTCACAAATCATTACATCATCCCTTAATTGCAGAGTTCTTCTCTGACTTCGAAACTGATCATTTAAAAATTATTATTCTGGAATTAGTTGAAGGAATCACAATGCTTGATAAAGTCAACAAAGAGGAGAGATTAGGAGTTATTGAAGCGCAATTTGTTTTTGTTCAACTGATGACTGTTTTTGATTATCTTCATATTGAAAAAAATATAGCACATCGTGATTTAAAATTAGAAAATATTATGATAGATAGTTATGGACATATTCGCGTTATTGATTTTGGATTTAGTTCGAATTCTACAAATTTGATGACAACATTATGTGGCTCAATTCCATATTGTGCACCCGAAATTTTTACTTGCGAAAAATTTAGTAAATCGGCAGATATATGGTCATTAGGAATAATATTATTTGCTTTGGTGTCAGGAAGGCTTCCATTTTATGATTCCAATATGAATAACATGGTTGCTTCAATTTGTACAAGCGAACCAGAATATCCTCAAATGATACCAACAAATTGTCTCGATATTTTATCCAAACTGCTTATTAAAGATCCAGAAAATCGAATAACAATTAAAGATATAGAAAGACATTCTTTTGTCTTGAATTGCACTTTTTCGCATATTGATATGGATGCTTTATTTGTAAGGAGTGAATTTAAAAGTGTTGAAGACCATATTTTGAGTCGACAAAATTATGCATTTGTTTTAAACCAAAAAATTGAAAATGAACTATTGAAAATGAGTCACTGCGCAGGAGCTGGAAAATTAAGATCATCATCGAATTTATCTAGATCTGTTTTAAGATCATTGAATATGCCGATTGTCGTATCTGGCAGAAGAATGTCGCAGATCACTCAACCGAGACACTTTAATAAGATGAGAAAAAGAGCTGTGTTTAATGCATCAAATGTCCAGAATATCCAGAATCTTGTTGAAAAAAATAGTATTTTAACAACAACTACTGATTCAGGCAGTCTTTAGATTAAATATGTATTCTATCTTTTATTTTGTTTGTTAATATTCTGGTCATCCCAAATTACAAAATCAGAATCATGTTTAATTTTTCCCCAAAAAATGTCATGAGGTTAATTAAATGTCAAATTCGCCTCCATTGATTATCACAGATATTAAAGCTATATAAATAATTTGAGAACTTTGTATGGCCTCGTGGCCCAATGGATAAGGCGTGTGCCTCCTAAGCATAAGATTGCGGGTTCGACTCCCGCCGTGGCCCTTTTTTTATTTAGTCATTTCCAAAGATTTTTTGACCCAATTCCTAATGGATATTTGAAAGTGCCGATATATCTCAGATATAATATCTGGCAATAATTTCAAATATTTCGAAATAGAGAGACTGACTATAGTATATTTTTTTAATATAGAAAATTAGCAATATTAACACGGAAATAATTCTTGTTTTCCAATTGTTATGTTTTGAATTAGATCAGAAACAATAAATTATTAAAAATATGGGATTGTTCACGTCAAAACTATGATCACGATTCATGGAAATATTCATGTAAAAATCTAGAAAAATTAAAAAAGGGCCACAGCGGGAGTCGAACCCGCAATTTTATGCTTAGGAGGCACACGCCTTATCCATTGGGCCACGAGGCCATTCATTCCTTTCAATTTATGAGGCTAATTTAAAAGATATACCTCTCATTCATGATGGAAATAAATTCTATCATATGGCTATAATATTTGATATCTCTGAACCCTTTTTATGGTAAAAAATAATTATAACTCGCCTCCTATATGAAAGGTTTACAAAATGGTCCCCCAAAGATTTTGTGGGACCATCCCATAAACCTTTGTCCTACCAATCACACTACCACCATCACTAATGACACAAACTAATGATATATACTAATGTTGTGCATATGGAAGCAAAATAGTGTATTAGTTTTTC